TGAAAACATGGGTCAATAAAAACATTAAAACAATAAAAACAATAAAATGTTTCTGGATGAGGCTGGAAACTCCCAGACATACATTTTGGAGCATTATCAAAATTTAAAAAAATTTTTTTTTTACTTCGACCGTAAGCAAGGGTTTAAAAAAGTTTTCTCCCCTGGAAGTTTTACTTTTATCACCATCTTTAAAGTTGTGGCATTCCCCCATACATTTTCATTCAGGCTTCTTTGAGTGTCCATGATCACCATAATTCTCCCATAATGTGTCTGCCTAAACCAATTTAAAAACAGATCTGGTGAAGAGTATTTTATGGAGCTAAAGCCTGATTTAGAGCCCTCATAGAGCTCCATTCTCACTGAAAAACAATTAAAAACACATCAGTGGGTTCCACTGTGGCACTATTTGTCATGTTCCTTCATTATGATGAACATGGGCACTGTGGTTTGTTTTGAGTCAGTCCTACATATGTCCCGATGCTTTAAATGCACAGACTATCTAATGTGTGCTAATCCATCACTGGAAATAAGCCCCAGCTGATTCACTATTTACTTCTGTTTGAGTAATGTTTGCTGGAAAACTACTGTGCTTAGCTGCTCTGGGAAATTAAAAAAAACAACTATTTGTAATCTTTTTTTTTCTTCTTTCTTTGATTAGTGGAGGTAGAAGCTTTTTTAATACTGCAAATCATAATTTTGTCTCTCTGATCATTAAAATATATATTTAAAAAACCTGTTAAAATATTTCCACAGAAAGTTTTTATCACAAGTTCATTGAACCTTTTCAATATTTAATTAGGAACACCATATTTCCCTTATTTCTAAACAAGTGCTTTGAGAATCTACAAACATAGCCATTAAAAAAGCACTTATAATGCTACACTCACTACAATAAGCAGGGCCTGCATTGCTAATGAATATTGTTGGAAAGAACAAACAAAATATCTTCTATCCTAGCAATTCACATTCAGCATGAGGATTCTGCAAATTTTATTGTGTAATGTTATGAATAAAAATGGCATTTAAGGAGCTTGTTTGCTTGTTAAGTTACTTACAGCAACTTATAAATCATTCAAGCTTAAAGTCAACCAAATCAAGGCGTAAACTTTTGTGTCTACACATAACAAACACTTTTGCGCGTGACCAATTTTAAAATGTGTCTTTGGCACTTTGTTACAGCATCCCATCTCAAAAATACACCATTTGTTCCCATTTCTTTAGTTGAAGCTACAATAAAATACCAACGATAACACAGTTTGACAGGCATGAAAAAGTATTTTTGCACCAACAAGGTGATTCAGAGCTTTTAGCTGGAAACTTGGCGTATCTCGGCACGGCGTGCAGTGTGTCCTTAAACAATTGGGGACCAGTGAAGGACAAAAGAAGTGGCAGGCCTAAAAACTATGAAAGAAAAAACAACCATTTTGACGTTCTTTTCTTTAGGAATTGGAAAAAAAAACTCTAGCCAAAGCCTGACAAAGGACTAAAGAGATGCATCTGGCCCTTGAAATGATCTATCCTCTGTTCAACAAAGCCTCATCAGAAGTGGTCTCAGTGGAAGCATGGCAGACAAGAAGCCATTCTCAAGTAAGGGAAAAAGGGAGAAGAGGCTGAGGTATGTAAATATACAAGAACTGTACTGAAAATCAGAGTTAACAGGACTTACAGAATGATCCAAAATAGACTTTTGGTTCAGACTGCCATCACTGTGTAGTTAAGCCAAGGGTTTTGGAGATAATGTTCAAAATTGACTGAATTATGAATGCATTAAAGTAACACCAGATTTTATATACCATGCAATACCATCTGAAAAACACCTGATTAGCATTATTGAAGCAGTGTGGGATCATCTTAGAAAAGCAGCCAGCATCCAAAAAAGAGCCTGGTTTTGCCATGTAATGCTTTTCCATTTTGGTTTGCTTGTGTTTTAATAAATCCCTCCACCTACACCCCATTTTCTCTGCAAATGATTAAGAAACGTGGGACGGATCAAGACTTTTGCACAAGACCCCTGCAGAGTCCTGTGTGATGATCTGCTATCAAAGTTGTATTTAATATTT